GAAATAGTTTATAATCAAAGTCAATTTAATAATTAATTATTAAATAATGGCTGCAATGGTCAAAAAGCCTCGTTATAGCGCATAAGTTTGGTGTGTTCACATGTCATGTTATTTAAGGCCACCAAACTCATTGCAGAGAGTAACAAGTTTGGTGGTCAAAGTGCCAAGTTATTCTGAGTTAAAGTGGGACACATGACAATCAGTCATAAAACTTGCTAAGGGGCATGGCACATTTTTAATTATTTTAGGACTTGAAACCGTAGGTTAGAGAATTTTTATTTATTTATTTATTTATTCTCTCATAAGGTTAGTTCTTTATATTTTTTATTTATACATTACTAATAGACGTTAGTATATAAAACCTTACAATAGATGACATGTGTTAATTATATTATATTAATTTGTATAGACATTAAACTCTAGGATAATGGGTATACTATTTTATATTTAAAATTTAAAATATAAATAGCATTTGAACATTTTTTGAATTATTTATGTTTTAAATATTTTATTTTAATATTATTTATTTTAGGGCTTGAAATCTTAGGTTAGAGGATTTATTATTATTATTTTAATTATTCTCTTGCAAGGTTATTTTTAATATTTTTTTATTTATACATTACTAATAGACATTAGTATATGGAACCCTATGATAGATGACATGTGTTAATTTTGATATATTAATTTGTATAGACATTAAACTTTAGGATAGTGGTTATATAATTTTATATTTAAAAATTTAAAATATAAATAGCATTTGAATATTTGTCGAATTATTTATGTTTTAAATATTTAAATTTAATATTATTTATTTTAGGATTTGAAACCTTAGGTAAGAGGATTTATTATTTTTTGTACATTAGTGATAGACGTTAGTATATGGAACCCTAGGATGGATGATGTGTTAATTTTGTTATATTAATTTGTATAGACATTGAACTCTAGGATATTGGGTACATTATTTTATATTTAAAATTAAAGTTATATATAGTATTTGAATATTTGTTGAATTATTTATTTATTTATTTTATTTTAGGACTTTAATCCATGGAGCAGGATGCATCCTCGCGTCCTGAGTCTTCACGGAGCATAATTTATCCAGGTCCTATAAATCGTTTTACATAACATTAAAAGAGAAACACACATCGCCATCCCTATTTATTTTTTTTAATGCTGGCACCAGACATGCTAAACCTCCTAGCAAGTTTTGTGGCTGATTGACATGTGTTCAACTTCCAAATTTTTTTTGTACAATTGGCACCATACTTGCTATGCCCCTAGCAAGTTTGAAGGCTGATTGTCATATGTCCCATTTTAACTCAGAGCAGCATGACATTTTAATTACCAAACTTACTACTTCATGCCACGAATTTGATGCCTTAAACATCATAAAATGTGGGCACACCAAAATTGTTACGTGCGGTAACAAATTTCGCCGCGTGTTAATTTGAAAAAATATTTTGAACACGTGGCAGTTAAAGATATAATTTTTGAAATCGTGATAGTAAAGTCCGTGTCTCGTGAATGTTAGCTATTCAGTGTACTTTTCATGGACACGAACATTTTCAAAATTTTACGTATTGGACACGTGTTCGATACGGACACGCTCGGATATGTTCTGACACGCGGTTAACTTTTCAACACATTCTGACATGTTTTTCAGACACATAGTCAACTTTTTTGAACACGCGGGCAATGCTCGGACACATTTTTTTTTAATCTTAATTTTATTTTATTAACTAAATATAAAAAAAATAATTTATAAATTAAATTTTTTCTATTATGAAATTTGACATGAAAAATTAACAAAGTACGAAAAATTATTTATATTTATATTTATGTTATGAAATTTAAATATTTTATTGATTATATGACTTATTATAGCCTCTTATATGTATTAAATATAAATTATTTTATGTATATTAAATTTTTTATTTAATATCAAAACGTGTCAATTAAGAAAAAACTTGTGGTTTGATACATAAAAAATTGTTCGTTGTTTTTTCTAGACAGACGCACTGGTTCGATAATCAATATTCTCTTTTTCATGAATTCTTTAGTTTTCTTTAACCCTTTCAGAGTCAAATCTTTATGACTCTGAATCACCATAATATCTAGGCTTAAATCTCCCCTTTGAATAGAGGCTATAGCAATTTTTTTTAAACTTATCAATTTAAAACTAACGTGTTGACATGTCATGTTGTGTTCTGTGATCCGTGCCAGTGTCCGTACATCATAGATCATACTTTGTAAGTTGCTGATTCTTAAAGCATCTGTAATCATGTACGACTCAATGTTATCCACACCCATCGAGTAGAACATGCAATCATGTTTCTATTCAATATCACATTCACATGACTATTCTCAAAAGCTAAATTTGTATAATAGACGGCCTTCAAATTTTGGTCCATCATTATCTGAGAAGACCTTCTAGAAAGTCTTCTTGTTCTTCAAATAATCATTTCAATGGAAAATTCATCCATTAGAAGTTAAAGTAAAAGGCACGCACGCGCGTTGGCACACAAAGCATTTTTAAAAAACTACTTATTACAACCTATAAAAGAAGTATCAAAATTGTTTTTTTTTTTTAGATTTTTACCTTTTTACAAAAATTTATCAAATTATTATAAATTAATTATAAATTTTTATAAAAATCTTTTAAGTAAAAATATATTTTTTTTCTAAGAAAAAGCTTAAACAAACTAGCTCGTACACTTGTATAGTACACCAGGATGTTAATCTGGTGCATGGATTTTTTGTAGCGGTATATATTATATTGATATTTAAATGTTTAAAATACTTAAATTTATATTATAAAACGAAGACAATGTAAGATATTGAAAATTCAAGATTTCCAAACATTTTAACATGTCATGTGTTTTTTATCCTCATTATTATCATAGTGTTTTGAATTGTGATGAAATAATTCAACATTTTAAAGTCAAATAACATTAAATCATGTGGGTTGATAGTTGAAAACAAGTGCCAATAATTTTCTCAAACCAGCGATTAAGCAGAAATATATGTTATCTTTTCTTTCTTAAAAATAAACACTTTGAATTCGGCAGCCTAATAATAATCAGATATATATATTGGTGGATAATAATCAGATATTTTATCAAACAATATTGGTCCCTTTGACGTAACTTCGGTAGGATTGATAATGTCCATAATTCGCAGAAAAAACATGTGACCTCAAATTGTTTTATTATCATCATTATTATTTTAAGATAATGATATTTTGGGTGAGTTTTTGCATTATGTTTTACCCAGGACGATTATAGGAACGAATCTCTCTTCGAATTAATTAAGAGAATGAATTTTTTTAAAGGTTATATACTATAGAACTCTCAAACGTTGAAGATCTTGAGTATTCCATTTTTCATCAGCATTTTGATAAAGGAAAAATGTTTGTTGTTTTAAATAATACAACTTATATTCTTTCACTCTCACATAAAGGCAGAACCCACACCTTTATATTTTTTTGTTCACTCTCTCTCCTCCTTTATCTATTTTTTTTTCTCACTTAAAATGACATAACTTTATATCCTTTAAAATGATAGACACTTTTCCCTTTTGATAATTAATGAAGGGTTTATCATCTATCATTTAACATGATCACAAAAAATTTTCTACACACACAATATTTTGTGGGGCCCGCAGCAAAAAAAAAAAAAAATTGGCACGCAAAACAAATCTCTATAACATAACACAATCACTTTTCCTACAACATAATTCTTATAAAATTTACTGAATCCCAAATAGATTTGTTTCAATGACCAGTGCCAAGGGAAAGTGCTTCGGTGCTCCAGCGACATCCAAATCCCTTAACTTTCACTGGTTTGCAAATCAATTATCTTAAAATAAAATATATTTTAATTTAATCCTTAAATTAAAACAATCATTGCAATAAAGTATTTAATTGAAGAATGATGTGTTATGAACCCGCTCCTTCATCAATCTTGAACTTTCGCATCAATTATTCTTTATAAATAAATAAAAAATAGTTCAAAATAGAAAATTAAATAAAATAATTCTTCTCGCAGGCTATGCACTGGCGTTGACTGCCAGGGCATCACAATCTCCATCTTCCACTCTTTCCTTCCCGATACAACACTCACAAACTTTAAAGAATTAGCAGCAAGTTGGCAACTTGATTGAAGAAATCATAGAAACCATGCAAAAGGTAAAGAGGGGTTATCGTATTTGATTGAAAAAGGAAGTTTGTGAAGTTAATTTTTTAAATTTCCCTTGAAACCCACAAACTCAAGCCATTCCTGCGAGAGATTGAGGCCGGGGAAGTGTGCCCATATGGCGAAATGAATCAAATGATGGCGCTGGTGATGGGTTGAAGGCAGGGGTTGTTCTGGTTTGGGATAATGCGTATCTTTCTGCTGTGAGGATATTGTTTGGTATTGGCTTATTGGGAAACTCTCTGTTCATGGTGGTTGTAAGTGTTATGTTGCAAGATTTAGAACAATTAGGCCCAGTGGTTCACATTTGGTTGTAGACGTGGTCACTGGTCACTGATTGCAGATGGTGGCAATGTCTTCTAGGTGTGCAATGGTTAGATTGCGTTGCTGTTAATGGGTGTGTGGTTCGATGGCTCTTGGTAAGATTGATAGGAGATGCATATTTCTTTGATTACACAGAATAAGCAAGCGACCTTTTTTTTATTCGAACTACCAACTGGATATATAATTTAGGGATCGGATCAGATGATTTAATTTCAATGGGAATTGCTATAAGTTGATTAAGGTCATAAAAAGATTCTAATTTAGTTCACAATTACATTTTAAAATAGAACAATTTGTAATGACATGATTGCTTTGATTTTTCTTACTTTTAATTAAATGAAATGGCCATCTAAAAAAAAAAAGATAAAGAAAAGAAAAACTGTTCCTAATTGAGTTCCTTTTCCCCTAATTTAGGGGGAATAATAGTGAAGGAAAAGAGAATGAGAAAATTGGAAGCACATTACAATAACCATTATAATTCCGATTTTCCAAGTATGATGATAACATGATGAAATTATACAAAAACTCTGCATGCGTAATAAATCAAAGGGATAAATAATATGAAGATGTGTCAGGACTAATGTCCTGAGCTACCTGGAGGAGGTATTCTACGTTGATATCATCAGGATAGTGTTGTAAGAGCTTTAAATTAGCCACAAAATCACCACTTAGGAGTCTGCTTTTCACGCAAAGTAGCATTGCACAACAGATCCGAAGAAGCATATCCTGCACCAAAAAAAAAAAAGAGTTTAGCCAGGCAACTTATCAATCATCTAAATGACATAATAAGCAGCCAAACACAATAAAGTCTACACTAAGAATATTGTAGATTGAGTATTAATTTTATTTTAAAAGAATGCCGAGGAGTTCATTTGAGAGAGAGAGAGAGAGAGAGAGAGAGAGAGAGAGATACCTGAACACCAAAAGGATTACTTAGAAGTGTATCCCATATTCTCAAGATAGTCTCAAATTTGAACTCTTGTGTGAGTAGCAGTGTAATCCACCGGAAAGCATAGAATTGTGGTTTAACCTGTTCATGAGGCTCCATGGCATCAATTTTAAATAGAATGAAACTATACAAGTTGTTGAATTAAAAAAGTCGAAAGATTCTACCTTTGTTGTAAATTCAAGATGATGCCATAATTGCTCATCATTTACTTTTAGCAAATCTGACAAACGTGAAAGAGTAGAAAGGATGCCACTTGAACTATTATCCAATTGTTCACAGAAATGATCCACTGAATCACCTAAGATTCGAACAAAACAAGAAAAACTATCTGCTTCTGCATTCACCTAAGACAAAGAAAACAGAGCAAAAAGTAAATAATAAAGGATAGAATTTATTACCAAAATAAAAAGGATGAAATTATATCCCTTTATGCCAGCTGATATTTATGCAGGCAATCCTCAAGAACAAAATTGTGATGGATACGAGAGGATGACAATTGGTATACGTTAATTATGTATTTTAAAGATGATCTAGTCTAATAACCCATCTGCAAAGTTATACAATTTATGGTTGTTCGGTGTAATGGATACTGGTCAACATACTAAAAAGGACATTGAATTATGCTTGATTGGTGTTGGTTCATCTCTAAAACAGATGATATTAAACGTCCAAATTGTCTAGCAGTATAACTTGAGGCATCTGCACATGATAGGGTAAATAGAGGAAGCGTTTCTGGAATCATAAGCAATATGGAAAGTAAGATATACTCAAAATTTAAATATTCAAAACACAAGTTAGACCCTCCTTCAACCATGGATTTTGGTTTCTGCCGAGTACATATATTATATACGTCATCATATTAATATATACCATGCATTAAACCCATTGAAAGGAAAACAATGCGAACTGGTGCGAATGACATAATAAGTAGTTATGCGAAGAAAGTGCTTACAGCATTTTGCTTGTCAGTGTCAGTACTAAATACATAGTATATTGGTGCCAAGACCTCGTTCATGCCTTGCACGTAACAAATTGCAGGATTTGACTTTGCAAAAAGAAGGAGGATATTCTTCATTGCTTCCTATTTTCACAGCAACAATATAAACTTCAATCAGAGACGAACCCCCTAAAATCTATTACTTAACACTGAAAACAAAATTGAGGAGAATGAGTTTGATAAATAGTTCAGCTAAAACCAAAATTAAAAAAACTGTTGATTATTTTAACGGCGCAGTTACCCTGTTTTTCCGACTTAATGATGACTCTCCTGAAAAGAATGGCATATCTGGATGTGTACGCTGTAGATCTCGATCTATCTGCTCTACTATCTCTGTATGCTGCTAGAAGAAGGACTGACAGTAATAAGTATCCATTTCGTTATTCAGTAAGCATTCAGTCAAAAGTAACTTTGAAATGGAGGAGAAACTTACCTGAAAATATTTACTCCAAAGACTTGCCTTACCAAGGCTCAAAGGGTGATCTTCCTGAGAAATTTCATGCCGCCTAAGGGGACCATCAACATCACTGTCCTCGTGCTGCTTAGCGGAACTTAATTCTTCATATTCCTTCCAGATATGTTCTGACTGTCTTAGATTCAACAACATGGTCAGTGAAAACTGAAAAGCAAGAGCTACAACACCATATCACACCAGATATAGCCGGGTAAAAGTTTAATATGAATATATCTGCTTATGTGAAAATGTGCAAATCAGCAGTATCTTACCGGATTCAGTAGAAGCTCCTCTTTCAGATTAGCATATTTTTGTCTATTTTCTTGTAATTGCTTCTCCCACAAGTCATGAGATGAAGGTAAGTAACCCAAGAGTAGCTGGTAGTGGAAATCAAAGCAGGACAATAAGTTGCTTGTATGCAGAAATAGCAACAATCAAATGATTTGTGCTTTTGAAAATAGAACATAAATCTGTATTGGTGCTAGTCGAATATCTTTATTACTAGAATGTTGAAAATTTTCTAAGCACGAAGGTATTTATTTCTCATATTAACATGTAAGCACTAAAGTGTTGAAATTCATATCAGCTTAGACCTACATTGTGGAGTTATTACCTTCCAAGCCGTTGCACGCAAACCTCCTCCATTGGGAATACCAGTGCTTGCAATTCTTTGTAACTTTTCCAAATTAATCTCCTTTTGAGAAAGCTAGATAACGAAAGGGATAAGTGAAGGGAACAATAAGGAGCACAAATTTAAAGGAAATCTTAACCATATAAACATATAATCCACACTTCATTTTCAATTTTCTTCTCCAATCACAACCTCGTATTCAAGATCCGATCTTTTCTCCTCCACCGAAATGGATTTCAACAACGAAACAGGGGTGACAGCATCTTTATTCGGTCTCTGTCGGATTTTTTGGTCCATGTCATCGTCATCGTCATCATCATCACCGATAGCTTCGTCGCCATCATCACTCTCTCTGAGAAACCCTAATGCGCCGGGTTGAATGGGCTCCAGCTCTTCGCCGGATTCGGATCCTCCGATTTCATTTCCCTTTTCATCAACTCCGGCGACCAAGCTGCCGAGCCGGTCGGGGAAGACCCTTCGAGCCTTGTCAGGAACGGGAAGCTTGAGCTTGCCTTTGAGCATGGCGGGTGAGTTGAGACCGAGTATACTGAGAGGAATCGGCCGAGTTGAAACGATAGGAAGTGGAAATTGGAAGGGCGAGAGAGGAATAGTGGGTTCTGGTTCAGCTCCTCCATGACTCGGAAATCAAACTCAGTAAGTTACTGAGAAGAAGAATGGTAGTTATGGGAGTTAACGGTTGAATGGCAGGTAGGCGCCACTGTATTTGGACCCGTGAAAGCGTTTTTGGGCTTTGGGACCAAACCCTAATAAGCCCATTTCGTTCATAAACGCATAGTTGTTTGTTATGTAAGACAAAATCAACATGCTGATTAAAATAGGAAATCACAGCACATCCACTCAAAAGCAACATCAAACAAAGACGAAACAACGATTCTTTACATCAACCAACCCTTGCTCATCAAAGAATCCCACTCCTCACCACTGTCTGCCGCTCCAAACTCAAGGGTTAATGACATTTCAACATAACATTAGTGTTAATATCATTATGTTGTGTCGTATCGACTAAAATAGTAAATAGTATACTTTGAGATTGACGGGTTATTTGTGTTGACCCATAAAATAACCGGGTTATATTCATGTCAAAATTTTTAATAATATAAATTTTTATTAGGATCGAGTGTATTTATATTGGGATTTATGAATATTATGTTACATGATGAAGCTTACATCATGTTACACTCACAATGCAAGTGAGTCCTACAAGTTTTTATCAAAAAACAAAAAATAAGAAAATGGTGGGGCCCACTTGCATTGTGAGTGTAACATGATGTAAGCATCATCTTCTAACATAATATTCATAAATCACATTTATATTTGTTCCGGGTTCATACACTGAGTCATACTTGCTCGTAAGAGTAAAGGACACGGAACCCAGATATACTTTACCCGGATAGGCGGTTAATCACGTCAGTAAGTATTACACGTAGAGAAGTTAGCCGTTGATTGAGTCAGCCAATATTACAAGTAGTGGAGTTATAAGTGGGCCTGCCACGATGGTACCCACCACTTCCATAATAGAGGTAACTGTTCAGAAGCTAGCCCTATATATACACCAAGAATAAAGATAACACACGCAGATAACCAGAATATAGATCAATATTAATGTTGTCCACAACAATATTCAAATCAGACATTGATTTGATCTGAACATGACTCACTAACACTAATCGCCGCCCTTTATTTCATATGCCCTTGTAAAATCATCCACTCCTGTTACATATATAAATGTGTCCATTGTCCAGTTCCAAAAAGACTAATCACAAGTTACATTTGATTCAGGAGAAATCAAAAAGGAAAAAGCCTGCTTGATTTCCATTTCTAAAAAGCTTGATTTCTATTTCTAAAAACATTTTTTTTAGAAAAAGTAAAATAAAAATATTTGTTTGAAAATAATTGTTTTGTAAAATAACTCCCAAAACAATAACTGTTTTTTAGTTTTAAAAACTAAAACATCAGAACAACTTATTTTAATGTTCTCAAAAATTATTTTTGCAGTGACAATTTTATAATTATGAGATTCATTAATGACATTTTTGTAAATAATTATAATTTTTTTAAATTTTAAGTATTTTACGATGACAATTTTATAATTATGAAAGTTCATTAATAAAATTTTTGTAACAAAATATTATATGATTATCTTTTTAACTTCAAATCAAATCGTATTCAAACAAGTTTTATTATTCTCATACTCTCAAAATCAGTTTTCAAAATACATATTCAAAACAATTTTTTTAAAAAAACAAAACAACACAATATTCAAATAGAGCCAAGTTTTGATTGTCTGCTGCAAAAATTGAGGTCACAAATCGATGATGATATTCTCGCTGTAACTGATGGTGCAATTCTTTTACTTTATAGAAAGAGTTGAGTCAATTAGCGTAATATTTGACATAAAATAGTTTCGGAATAGATATTAATTTTGATGTAGCAAGAGTGTAATTTATACCATCACTCAATTACATGATGATATATTGTTGAAAAATTGTTTTTTAAATGTAGTTATTATGAGAGATAAACTTTTTTAATAAGATAATACATGATGAAGTGATAGTGTAAGTAAATAAATGCAAAGAAGGGTCCGGTGTAAATAATAGCTCAAAATGTTCAAAGATAAAGACCTAATCAGTAAGGGAACATGGATATAATACATACATATGATTGAGGGTGTAAATGAACTAGATTAGCCCGGCTTATATTGAGTCTAGTCTAGATCTTTTAAAAAAATAAAGTAGGTTTAAGCTTACAAGACAATTTTTTTAAACAAATAGACCGTAAGCTTCAATTTTATTAAACTTGACCTAAAGCACGGACTTATTTAATTTATTAAAATAAAATAAAATAATAATATTTATTTTATGTTACAAGTAGCAATATTAAGCCTAACTTTTACGTGCCACCTCTGCTTGGAGCTCCTTCGTTTAGGTACGCCGCGTACGCTCTTTCTCTCCTTTTTCTCCTAATCTTTTTCTTTCCCTCCCAAGAGTCCCATTTTTGTGATCTTCTTCATGGTACACACAACTTAAAGACTTCAATCACTCACTCAACACTTTCAGATCGGTGTCTCTCTTGGACAAATTGACGAGGTTTTTATTTTTTATTCAATTTTATTCCTTATGCAATTTTTACTTTCAGATCGGTGATCTCATCCTTTGCTTTTTGAGATGTTTGTAGGATATTTTTTTGGTTTTTCAACTGTGACACTGAATTGAGTGTGGGTGTGGGTGTGAGTTTGGGAGGTTAGTAGATGGGTTAGCGATGGACGATGGTGAATTGTTTACTCCCACTACTGTTACCCGAATCCATGAGAGCAGAAAATGGAAAGACGTTAGGGAGACAGTGATTTTCTTGTTACGGGCAAGGCCTGTGTGGTTATCCTATTAATTTTCCTGGTCAATTTTTTGTTCTTTAATTTACAGATTCAGTTTTTTTGATTTATTCGTGAACTTTATCGGATGCATATTCCATATTTTCTATTTATGCACAGGTTTGTTGCACTTTTTAAGCTCATGCTTGATATGGTACTAAAGTTAGAACTGATGCTGAAAGGAATTTGATCTCTAACTCAAACTCTTAGTGATGTTTTCACGATTCACATGCATAAACATAATTTTGATATTGAACTTTGAACTTGAACGTGCCTGCGTGTGGGTCTGTGCTAATGCTAGTGATAGCTAACAGATCAAAGATGAGAAAAACAAAAGAGAGAGTTTTTTTTCTGGTTATGGAAGGAAAAGTTAGCTAGCTCACTTCAGAAAGCACTCACCACTCACTTCTTTATGACATTGATAAGTTTTCACTATATATATTAACTACACTCCCTCCCACTTCACAATGGCACTATTCAAGCTGAGTTGAAAGCTGAAGCCCTCCCTCTCAGCTCAACTTTTCCTCAACCAGTCTACGGGTTTTCACCCTGTCCTGTTGGCTGCAGAAAAATGACTTCATTGCTCTTTGTCATGGCCCCTCAAGGTGAAGGTTACAAAATTCAGAAAGAAATGGAAATGTGGTAATTGTTATGGTGGTATCTCTCCTGAGCTTATTCTTATTATATTTTTATTTTCTTTTTTACAACTTTATGAATAATGTTCAAGTTTTCTTGACCTTGCAAGTCCAAGAATTTAATAAATTAGGTCAAGATTACTTGTTAATTGTTAATTTTTAAGAAGGCAAAATGTATAATAATTTTATTAGACTGATCTAAGGAAGTTAAGTTCGGGTGTTATCCTTCCCACTTGGTTTTCTATGTACCCTCTTTGTATTTGTAATATTTACTTACAACAACTGTATAATGTATTTATTATTTCAAAGCTTGAATATAAGGAAGGTTTTATATGTCTTATATATTTGTTTCTTTTAGTAGCTTTGACTCAGATCCCCTCATTTTTTACCTCATTAAGTTTTCTCCTCAACTCTGATTGAGATGTAGTGGATGCAATTAGAAGAGGAATGTTTGCCATCCTTCGTTGTGGAACTACCTGAACTTTGTTGTTCTCACTGGTTTTTGATTCTACGTGACATGATGCGACTGTTGTTATATTATAGTTAAATTTATCTCAATGCTTCAGTGAATTGTTAGTCTAACATTTTCACTGGGTTTTATTTGCTTTTCTCCCTAGAATTTTTCTCACTGTCTCTGTCTTTATTTTTCTTGGACTGGACTGAATTTTGCACCGTAAACATTTTAAATATATGTGTATAACCAATGCTTTAAAAGATTGGTTAATATCGCTGAACGTTTAGTATGATACCTTGCAAGATTCAATGTGTGATTTATGATTAAATTGAACTTTTAGAACTTATCCCATTCAAACTTGTATATGATTTTGGTCTGAATAAACTAACATTTGTTCAATAGTGTGATCATTCATATTCAAAAGAAGATATTAGCAATATTCCTTTTAACGTTACTGATTAATTGTAATGTGTTGCAGAAAGGTAGCTAGGTGAATTGAATAAAGATGCCTCTTTACGATTGCATGCTTCTGTTTAAGCCCCATACAAGGAAGGAATCCCTCATGGATTTAGTTGCAAGGGTGGGAAAACATGTCTACAGAAGAAATGGGGTTGTCACTGATCTTAAGAGTTTTGGAACAGTTCAGTTGGGCTATGGTATAAAAAAGCTAGATGGCAGATTTTATCAGGTGAGATTGAGATTGATTACTCATCATGTTATAATCAAAATGCACTTGTGAATGTGTGGTCAAACCACTATATTTTAGGTGAATTGTTCCTTTCTTTTCTTTTTAAGTCAAAATCATAATGCTTGAACTGTTTTTTGTTATGTGGGTTGTATTAGTCATGGACTGAGTCATGCCACAAAAGTTACCAAATTAATGTAATATAGTTCAATGTAAAAATGGCTTTGGTGGTATGTTAAAGAATTTGGAGAAATGTTGCTTATAACTCTTAGTTTGAGGTGGTGTTTTATGCAAGTTGGTTTATGCTACAAAGATTATGAATATTAATTACTATTCCACCGGACGTGGCTCAAAAAAGTGAAGTGGAACATCCTATTCACTTTGGAATAAAAATCCATACAGTGAAATGTTTACTACATGTGCTGTTTTCCACATGCTGCAGATGAAATTTTAGTTAACTTTTTTTAGTTTGAGAGCGTGCCTTTGGTGAAAGAGAAAAACAAACATATCCTTCTTTTAAGTTTGAATGCAAATTATGCAGTTGTAATGTAATGTGTTGCCATTTTTTTCTATATTTTATGGATGTAGGGGCAACTGATGCAATTGAGCATGATGGCTACACCCAACATCAACAAAGAGCTGCATTATCTAAACAAGGAAGACCGGCTACTACGTTGGCTTCTAGTTAAACATCGAGACACAAACTTTGGGCTTGACTTCATGGGGGATGAAGGTAGAATTGAGCTGAGCAAACTCTCCCAAAGCAGAAGAATTGATGATGAGGATGCGGACGAAGACGACGATGATGAGGAATATGAAGTGAACGAAGAAGAAAAAAAAGTGAACTAAAAGATAGTTGAGTATTTTTGTTGGTTTCGATTATGGGAGGATAAAAAAACCATTGGGTATTGTATTGTAGGTGCTAGACATTTGCTTAGTGATAGTGCTTGGTAACAATCAATGGGCTTGAAGATGTTATTTAGTGACATCTTTGTAGCTTGGTGCTGTCTCTTCTTGCTATTGGACAAAACAATATCTTTGTAGCTTGGGGAAATAATTGATTTAATACGCCGTTGTCTTGCCCTGGAATCTATGAGCTGTTGAGCTCCATCAATGTACTTGTGGCTTACTTAATATCTCGAGGGAAACAGTTTTTGTTAAAGGATAAGAGCAATTTGAATATCCATCAATCGATGGCAATGTAATATTTCATGCAAAAGAAAAAAAAATCTTAACCCAATAGTTATACTGCTCAGGATTTCGTTTCCTTAGTTTTATTGCCTTGTATGTATGTTGGTATGGATGGTAATTATCTGCTAACACTGACGCAAGGAGTTTAGCCAATTTCGTCATAGAAGAGGAATAAAGCCTTAAAAGGGGCAAATAGTGAGATATCAAAAATTGTAAAATAAGATAATAAAGACGATTAACATGACATACCAAAAAAAAAAAAAGGCGATTAACATGAAGAAAAAAAGACACTCCTTGATTTGCTTCATTTCTAAAGATTTGTTAATTAGAAAAAAAAAATTCCGATGAACCATCCTTTTGTTTTTTGGGTCGATGAATTATCCTTTTACTAATTATAAAAAGACATTCGAAGTATGAGTATATTAAGAAACTGATTTTTGTGTGCAATCTTATATCAAATATGATATTTTCATCTTCTTTTCTAATTGAAATGGATAACTTCATGTCTAAGTATTGGATTAATTCTTCTCTTTTTACTTACATTAAAAACAAAAAACAAAAGATGGAGCTTTTAGTGAATGCAGAAAAGACAAGCGGAGCAATTAATTCAATTCTTCTTTAGTAGTAGTGTTATATATATCCATTCATTTTATTACAATGTTTCCTTCTACTGTTTTATTTGAAAGAATGAAATAGAAGAACGGATCTGGCACGGACTATTTTAGGAGATATAACAAAACGAAGTTTGTTATAATTGCCACGCTGTGATAGTCCCCATTTGTATCCGATATAGCACAAAATATTATCGCAATCAGATTGTCAAGGTTAACACTTCTTTATGCATTCAAAATAATACGTTCTAACAAGTATAAATATTTCTCGTACAAGCGTGGTACATACTTTAGATTTGACAATTGCCATTATAAGAGAGAAAAAGAAGGATATATCACAAGAAATTTGTATCCACAACGTTGTTTCTTCCACCCCGAAATACATGTTCAATGATCATTAAGCTAAGCAAATTCCAATATTCCGAACTGGGGTCTAACCGAGACATATTTAAGATACCTGTGTGTAAGTTCCTGTTTTGGTTTGCATACTTCAATAATTTGCTGAACCATTATCAAGCCATCCTAAGCAGCTGCATCGGTAATGTACACTTAAAAATATATAGCCAGGAAAAGATTAACACCTGACATAGGGCCCCCAAAAGGAATATTTAAATAATTCACGGTAAATTCTGGCTAGGAAGTCCCATAGATTCTGCAACTTCTCTAGCAGCCATACTGTCAGCTTGTTCCTACATTGGAGATAAAGATATATACCCAGAGTCAACAAGATTTGATTGCAATAAGCTAATCCATAGGGATAGGGTTAACATGGCTGCATGTATCACTAATTGTCACATATTCTGTATTGCAATCAGCTGAGGATCTTTACCTGAAGCCGATGCAAGAGATACATCAAGAAGAGATGTACAAACACCTGTTGCAATTTCTCACGGTTAGCAAAGAATTCAAAACCTTATTGAGGCTGAAGTTTATGGTCATTTCAATCAAATGCAATAAAAGACATAAGATAGATGCTCTAATATAATAAACAAGAGGAAACATACTCAAGGGATTTTATTTCAGTCTCATCTTCCCAAGATGATTGATGATGCTCGACGAGAAACTCTTCTTCTTTCAGCCTCCGCCTGTTCAACATGACAGTGAAGTGATGTCAAATCCATGGTGAAGTCATAACTCATAATCAAGCAGCCACAGGACCCTAAGTATATACCTGTGCTTCTTCAAGACGCTTAATTTCCTTTTCCAATTGAAACTCTGCGGCAGCTTTTTCACTGACCATGGTTTCTAATTGTGTTTGTTTGTAGTACTGAAACGAAGATGACGCATAAATTTATTGAACATCACAAGTAATTGCACGAAATTTAACCATGACAAAATTACCAAAAGGTCAGTCAGTTCCCGATATCGTTTCTCTAACTCCATATGCTCCTGTTACAAGAATATGATGATGCTTAGAACAAGTAGTATTCCAAAAATTATGTTGGAAATAATCAAGTGTGGATGAGTGGTGGTGAAGTAAGTTTTTCATAGTCTAAACATAGATCAAGTGATGACTATATAAGTGCAAAAAGATCCATAAACCTACAGCCTTAAGGTTTTGGGTTGAGATGTGGTGTCGGCCCACTTATTATGGTTTGTTATTTCGCCCATTGGTGGATGTACCATTTGCAAAGGGTTTTGGGCTCCCTCGTTCCATTCTCAACAGTGGTATCAGAGCTAACGATCTGGGCCAAGTGTTTGGAAGGCCTCTGCAGAAGACTAGTGTGACCCTAATATTTGAAGAGAAAAAAAGACTTCCGCAGAAGTTGACCTTAGAGTAAGAATGATGTTGGGCCTCACACGATGTTGGAAATAATCAAGTGTGGGTAGTGTGACCCTAATATTTGAAGAGAAAAAAAAACTTCCGCAGAAGTTGACCTTAGAGTAAGAATGATATTGGGCCTCACACGATGTTGGAAATAATCAAGTGTGGGTGAGTGGTGGTGAAGTAAGTTCCACATAGTCTAGACATAGACCAAGTGATGACTATATAAGTGCAAAAAGACTCATAAACCTACAATCTTAAGGTTTTGGGTTGAGATGTGGTGTCGGCCCACTTATTATGATTTGTTATTTGGCCTATTGGTGGATGTACCATTTACAAAGAGTTTTGAGCTCCCACTTCCATTCCCAACAAATTACCACAACACCAAAAAAAACATACACTCATTGGGAAGTACTAACTTAATTTCAGCTCTATTATATGTCAAAACCCATACAAGAAAAGCTCGGTAGGCTGGTAGCATTTGTATATTAAAATTCTTATCATCACTCCTCTCATGTCATGTTGGTTGCAGACAGCTATAGCTCCATAGAAAATTCAACAATGGTAATATCAATCAATTAAATGTACAGAATGCGACTGGGAAGATGCATGGATGATGATGCTTACAAATAAATCATGATACCATTTCAAACTTGAAGATGCAAACTTTATTTTTGCTTGGTTAAACAATCTAGAGTATCCAATAACCAAACATAAATATATTCTGAAGGAGTTAGACGACTAAGTTTTAATTTAAGATACTGAACTTACAGATTCTAACAAAAATCGGATAACACTCTTTAATAGGGCTAATCCCAGTGCATAAGCCTCCCTGAATTCATGAGGGAAGGGGGAAGGGTCAATTTTATGTAGTCTTACTCTTGCAATTTTGCAAAGAGGCTGTTTCTCAAACTCAAACCCGTGACCTTCAGATCACAGAGCAATCTAACCATTGCCCCAAGGCTCGCCCTCGATGACACTATAATACCATTAAAAAGAAGATGCACCTTTATATCTGCAATTGAGTCCATTCAAATTCACAGGTACACTTCGATTAAAAGTTAATATATCAAGTGCCAAGAACCAATGTTCAAAAACTTTTTTGGTTAAAAATTACTAAAAGAATTTAATGGTAAAAATATTTCCAGTTCAGAAATAATTTTCAATTAACCACCAATATGATGGTTAGTTAATAAGTAGCTGAAATTGTTTTTTTTCAAGTGTACCTTACTGGTAATTTTCCCAAAAAATTAATAACAAGATCACTTATTTCACTAAAACTACAGAAAATGATGCAACCCATTAGGACATGACTTGAAACTTAATATCACTAGAACTGAAGCATTATGACCATCAAGTCTAAGCTCTGCCAAAAAATATATATATATTTTCTCTTCCTCTACCTCTTTTCTATTTTGCGATTTGTTTTTGTGTGTATATATCGAATTCCAACAATACTTCTATCATTTTAAGCTTACTATTTTTACTACCTGATTAGTAATCTAATTGATCTATCAGTAACCAATTAAGTAGTAAAACTAGTCCCATCTTTATTTTTTTATCTTTTCATTTTTTTGTGACCCCACTTTTGTATTGTATGCGTAACATAAGAAAATATTTTCATATATGTGTGTGTGTGGGGGGGGGGGGAGGTATTTCATTTTAAATGATACATCTTGTGCCCTTTCACTTTCACAAAGAAGTGAGACCCACACCTTTAAAACTTTTTTCACCTACTCTTTTTCCTATGAAATATCTATTTCTCTAACCTAAAATAACATAATTTTATGTCTTTTAAAATAATATACACTTTTCCATATATATATATATATATACATATATATATATATTCTCCAGGGACAAAACTAAATGCACCTCACCGGAAAATAATTTTAAGGAAGTGCCAAATGGATAAAAATATCATTCAAACACCCTTGACCATTATTGTATTAATATTTTCTCAGTTATTAATAAAAAAATATTAGATATCTTTTATTGTTAAAATAAAATGGTTTAAAAAAAATATGAAATACTTATTTTGAGCACCAATTAACAAGAAAGAAATGTTACTGCAAGGGAATGTGATTCTTTTTCCTAAATTGGAGTGAAAATTTTGTTTTTTGTTTTGTATTTGAGTGAACGTTCATTTTATATTCAAGTCTTCACTAAGAACATTGATTAATTTGATTATTAATTTATGGAAGAAATATTTATTTTTTTAAGATATATAGAATTGTGTCAATTTAAGTAAAAAAAAGATATTAATTAATATATCTTATTTAAAAATTAAATTTAAAAATAATTACTTTCTCTTCTATGATTTCAATTGCTTATGTGTTTTTTTTATTTAAAATGACGCAATTCTATATCATTTTTAAGTTCAATGCAACACTCTCACATCACTATGACAGAAATATCTTTAGTAATGCGAGAGTACTAAAGACTAATGCATCATTTACTTAATTTGAAAAAATATATATATTTTATTATTTTACCTTTTCTTATATAATTATTTTTCTCAAAATCATCATCTCTTTTACTTTTAATAAAGGAGTACATACTCCAGCAAAGATATCCTCCACTATGACAATGAATTTCACTTGTCTGAGTATTTCGTAAATCGTAACTAGCACGTTTTTCCATGGGAGACGAAACCGTTTTTGTA